TAATTTGAGCAATATTTGCAGCAATGGCGACACACGGTTGTTTCCTCACAGCAGGCAGCAGTTGTAGGGAGTCTCTTTAGGGCTCAGTTCTTATCACCTAAAACTTCAAAAGCTTAACTGACTGCCAGGATAATTAACCCCCCTGCGTACTGGAGGCCCTTTTAGATCCACTTCTGATACATTACAGAAAAGAAAGAAAATAATCATTTTCTGGTTGTGCAGCCTGGCCTTTAGATGCTCATCTAGGGCAAATTGCAGCCCAATAGTAAAGAAACCACATTTCCTAAGGACAGTTCTGAAAGAAACCTATGATTTTTTTCCTTACTTTTGAGTGCATAAAATTGTAATATACTTTCTAGATTTTATTATTTATAATGCCTCCAAGTGGGGGGACTGGAATTAGAAACAGAGTACATTGGTACCAGAAGAGACCTGTTGGAGCTAAACTAACCCTCTCATTTGACAGTGATCATAATTATACAAATCCGTGATGTGTAATGTCTGAATGAAGTACCAAGTGAACTGTTCTGTACTTTCAGATTGCCTACTGATCTTAATGCCCAAGTCATCAATCAAACGTAAATAATTTACATCCTTTTTCCTTAGATGAAAACGCTCAAGGAGCTTTGTAGATCTCAGATCCATGGTATAGTTTTCGCTGAATACCTACAAGAAAAAACAAGCTACCCTGACATCAATGAAAGGGTTATGGAGTTCTGGCTTATTGACATGGATTCACACTCATGTTAGGGAAAAAAGAAACTGTTGGCATTTTCTATTTTCAGTACGACCAAAATGTGCAGCACAAATGGTACTGAAGTCTTCTAATATATTATTGGATTAATCTGGATTGTGTATCAGCTGTGCAATTTGTGGCTCGAACTCCACATGTAATATTGTTCATTTTCCAAAAGAATAGCTTCCTAAATTGCCAAGTAAGGAAAGCCGGTAAGAAAGATGTTTTTATAGTGTGATTTCATATTAATGATTTCCATATGACAATGTGAATAGGAAGAAAAATGTGTGTTGGTTTTTAAAAATGAATTGCTTGATGGAAAGTGAGTAGGGGATGGAAGTTAGAAGTAAATGAAGGGGGAAAGAACAGTCACACAGAGAGAAAAAGAAGAAAATACTTCCCTTTAAGACATATGAGATGGGGAATAGCAGTTAGTGTAATGGCTATGTCGCTGGACTCCCATGTAGTCAAGTGCGGTTTGAGTCCTGGACCCAGTAGTTTAAACTCATGCCGGGCACGTGTGTGTGCGTGCCCAAGATCCAAGAGGAGAATGGAGGAAAAGGGATTGCGGCATGGCCGTTCCCCATGGGAGATGATTTCTCACTTTCTGTCTCTCTGTTTCTTTCTGGCGAGTGCACGTGCCTTATAGTAAAAACCTCTTCAAAAAAAAAAAAGAAAAAAAAAAAAAAAACACATGAGATGCACTTATTTCAAACTACATGTGCATGTAGAAAAGATACATTAAAATCTAAAGTTAAAAAAAAAGTATGCCATGTTTCCTCCACCTACTAGGGTTGTAAACGAGAACATCGGCCTTATACTATACAAATTTAGAGCTGTGGATTATGACCTGAAGAAGCAGAAACCTCGGAAATGAATCCAGTCCCTTACTATTTGAGTGAGTCTGAGCAAGATCCTGAGAACTCACAGAAGCTCAGAGAGAACAGAAGGAGCTGTGACTTTGAGTATGAACACTAACTGCAATTTGCTAGCTATGTGGCATTAGGCACTTTTCACATTGAAAAATGAGGATAGAATTGCATATGTTACTGTGAGAATTAATTGATAAAAGTTACAATCTAACTGAAATCTGTATCAATTTTCAAGGAATTTTTTTCTTTAAATGTCATTTTGAAGTTATTTCTCTCATAGCTATAGTCTGAAACCTGGGAGTATTAAGCTTGAATACTGAATGATGACTTGAAAATGATACAATTAAGTGTATGTTATTTGTACACTCTAAAAGTGATTGGGGAAATGAATAATGATCAAACTGAACAGAGAAGCTCTGTAGAGGGTGGTCGTGAGTGATATGCAGGATTTGAATGGGAGAAGAAAACCTAAACCTTTTTTTTCTGGATTTCTACTGAGTTTATAATTTATGCTTTCCTCAAATATTGTATGCAGGAGAAATTAGACAATACGTCACACTGAAACATACCAAGAGCCCTATTTTGTAGGTCACTAAAGATGGGTATAACTAGTTAGTTGCAATATATAGAAAATTAAGAAATGCAAAATTAGGGTTTAATTTTAAGGGGCCAGCCTTGAATTGAAAAGGTCTGGAGAAATGATAACATCATCCAATTATATGTAAAGTCCGTTGGTTAGGCCCAGGGTGCAGACTGTGGAATATTTGCTTACAGACTTTCTTATGCTTTTTCTATAATAATTGTTAAATTGCATGCAAATACATTTCTCCTCAACACAGTGTAATCAACTGACTAATATTCAGTAGATATTTTTATTAAGGAATTATTAAATCTCTAGTTAACAGCATATTTTCCCAGAGAATTTGACTTACCTTCTTCAGTGTCCATCGCTTTGTTTTAGACCACATTTAAAACACTGAGTTCTTTGTATCTTTTGAGATCCTATAACCTCTCCATCCCATTTGTTTATGAAGGAAAGGGTTTATAAATTAGTACAGCTACTCTTTACTTTCTACCTACCTGGTTTAGGACTGCTGGGACTTACAAACAGGTCTCTTGCATGGGAATCTCCTTTCTCAGTCTGTGTGAGTCCTGGGCATCCCCCTTCTCAATATTTTTCTGTTTTCTGCAGTCAGTTAGTACTCACTACATGAAGTATTTGCAATCACACAAGACTACATATCTCATTTATAAATGTTTACTTTGTACCCATAGTAGTATTCAGAATAAATAAAAATGCTTACACTGGATTTATATTATTGTGTTGTGGTGTGTCTTGCTGCTTTTTGGTGCTTACATAATGTATGCTTTATTTTTAAAAAATTACTTTTTAAATTTTATTTATAATTGTTATTTTTGCTATATGGCATGGGCATTCACAAGATAGAGAGAGAGAGAGAAGAGAGAAAGTAAGAAAGCAAGACACCATGTTTGGGACTTGTACTGCAGTCAGTCATGTGGGAGTTCAGCCCCTTAACCATCACACCACCTGCTGGCTCCTGGTGTATCCTT